CCCTTCCTTTCTCTCTAAAAAATAAATAAAAACATACAAGTGTTATGATGCAGAATTATAACTGTAAATATGTTACATAACACTTACCTTACAAGGGCCCATGATTGGGCCACTTTGTAGCATTAAATGCAAAAGGTATTCCTTTTATCCAATGTGAAATAATGTCTCTTAAAATTGTGAGGATAAATGGGATATGTTTGAATTAGCTTTGAGCATATATTATATCATTTAGTGTCATAGGTGAACAGAGGGCAAAGATTGTGGAGGGAGGTCATTTTTGTCACAATTTTAAATTAACAAATTGAAGCAAAATCACATGATTGAATTGCTAATAAAGACTGAATTAGAGAAAACTATATCTTAAACCTGTCTTTGCAAAGTTCTTTAACTAGAGTATGTTGTCCCAAGTAATTTTGAAAAATTTACCTCCTATTTTTAAGACTTGAATAATCATCATCATTGCAAGAAGCAAGAATGTATGTGCCTGTTGAGAAGTCTGACATTAAGAAGACCCTATATACAAAAATCTCACAATTAAATTTATACAGCTCATAATTTTACTTAGCTTTTCATAATTATTCTTTACAATATGGACTTCCATTGACTAATGAAAAAAGTACTTTTACTTAGCATTCTATAAACACAATAAATTATATCTTTCAAGGTTTAGCTAAAATGCAGTTTTATTCAAAATCCTTACTAGTCCAGCTGAAAGTGATTTTTTTCTCATTGGAAGTCCATAGTTTCTTAATACCTTGTTTATCACAGTCTTAGAATATTTAAATTATCTACTATTGTAGTTATTGATGTGTATGATTTTTTTATTCTATTGAATTATCATCTCACATGTTTCCTTGTATATAGTAAATGCTTAATAAATGAGCAAAACTTCATCTGTACTTGGTCAATGAACAATCCTCAAGGCAGAAAGAGGGAGGAATGAGTGAGATTCTCTCCCAGTGGACTTATGGGGGTACATTTTCAATCTGTATTTTCCCAATCTTTCACTGCCAGATAAGAATTATTTAGTAGTGAGCCTCCTTTTGCTGGGAGTATATTGTAATCTACATACATAGCAATTGTGTTAGTGTTAGTGTGTGTGTGTGTGTGTGTGTGTGTGTGTGTGTGTGTGTGTGAAGAGAGAGAGAGAGAGAGAGAGAGAGAGAGAGAAGAGAGAGTGCCGTAAAAAGGGATGGAGGAGAAAGATGAAAAGAATCACACTATAGAACAAAACAATATGCCTGCTTTCTTGCATAACTGGTAGAGAAATATAAAAGGGAGTACCCCTCAGGCACACTAGAAACAAAAACAAATTTTATCAAAAATAGCTACCGGGTTAAAAGTGTTAGAGAGATTAAAGCTTCTTTTAGTAATGAGGCCCTTCTGTATATTCTTTTTTGTTTGTTTTTTATTGAATTTATTGGGGTGACACTGGCTAATAAAATTATATAGGTTTCAGGTGTACAATTCTATAATACATTATCTGTATATTGTATTATGTGTTCACTACCCCAAGGAAGTCTCCTTCCATCACCTTTTCTATATATTCTTGCTTATGAATGAGACATACTTTCAAGCTTTTGGCAGACATCAAGAGGAAAGTGTAAAACCATAATCAGTGATAATTTGACAAAGGCTATTTGATAAAAAAAATTTGAAGATTATATATGTATAAAACAATGGCTCTGTTTCCCATTTCGATTCCCGTAAATCTCTTATTTTGTTGCTACTTTGTAACAGTGGCGGATAACAAAGACTTAGCTCCAATAAGGGGCTCCTTTCTATCAGAGTAAATCCCTGTCCATCTCAGAGTTGTTGCCGTGTTAACTTTGTAAACACCTGCTTGTTTTTTGTAGATAAGTTTTCTGGAAAGCCTACTCTTGTGTTAGGAACACACATACTTTTTCTATTTCTCACTGTCTCTCTGCCTTATTTTGAATCTTTTATGAAAAAGATCTTTTGAATTTTTTTAGATTTTGAAAATTATTGTGGTTAAAAAAAATTGTGCTGTGGCTCTGAGCTTTTTTGGTGTTTTATTTATTGTTATTCCAGTCATTCATTTTCTCTTGTCTTACCACTCTGCCTTGGTGTCTTCTACTGGTTACCTTGTATATGTAGACCTTTCTCACTCAAGTACCAAACATAATGGACTTTGTCCTTTCTCAGTGTTACCTATGACATAACAGAAAGATTTAATATATTCTCTCTTCAGCTTGATTTGAGGCACACTAAGACTTGTGAATTAAGCTTTATTTCATAAATTGCCCTCTTTCTCTTAGGCTTTAGTTCTTGTGCTTGAACCATTGAGTTCTAATTAAACTCTTCTCTTAAAGAAACAGTAGATATGCTTTTCTTAAATGCAGAAGTGAGACTTCTTTTAAATAAATCTGTAGTTTCAAAAGTAAAGGTCAAATGTTTTTATTATATGTTCCCTCACTTTAAAAAAATATTTAGACTAATGTAAGATATAATAATTGGGGAAACTGAGTATGAGGTATATGGGATTTCTATACTATCTTTGAAATAATTTTATACATCTATAAATTATTCTAAAAGAAAAGGTTTTTTAAAATCTATAGGAAGGACATTTTCATTTATGTGAAAATATTAAAATGCTGTATTTCTTACACAAAGCATGAAAAATCTGACAAATGACAGTGTTCTTTATTTGCTTTCTTTTTAAATTGAATTTATTGGGATGACCATTAATAAAATTATATAGGTTTCAGGTATACAGTTCTATAACATTAATTTACTTTCTTGATAAACTATTGTGTTAATAATAAAGCTTTGGATCCGTTTGAGAATGTTTGTTATTCCTAGGGTCCTAGTATAATATTGTACAGAAAGTAAATGATACTGGTCTCCCTGTACACATAACATCACACCCCTCTGTCCCTCTTAAATCTTTTGTGGTAGAACAACTGGAATGGGAACGCTTATTGCCATAGGTGTCTGCCGTGAGTTCAGAGTCTGAAGTGAAAAGAGTCAGCAACTCTAGTACTTGATTGGAGAGATAGTATTGACCAGTTTTTGCTGAATTTTATCTGTGCTCTCTTGGATTCACAGGACTCTAACTCTTTAGAAGGCTCTAAATGGGTATAGGTCACCCATTTTCAACCTGTGTGCTGCAAGAATTTTTAAAAATGCAGTACCTGGCTAATTAGTCAAGGGCCCCGACATCTTTTCACTTAGTTTTTTATTTTTATTTTTTAATTAGATTTATTGGAGTGACATTAGTTAATAGAATAATACAGGTTTCAAGTGTACATTTCCATGATACAAAATCTGTATATTGCACTGTGTGCCCACCACCCCAAAGTCAAACCATCTGTCATCACTATATATTAGGCCCCCTCCAACCCCAACCACCCCACCACCCCTTTCCCTCTGGAAACCACCACACTGTTGTCTGTGTCTATGAGTTTCAGTTTTATATTCCACAGAGATTGTGAAATAAAAAAAAGTGACAATAGCTAACACAACAATAGCCATCTGGTGTGAATGAATCAAAATTATACCTATTTCATTTTGTGAGATCAGCAAAAATGTATTTTTTGGTGTGCTGAAGGATTTTAGTAATTAGTTTACATGTGCCATGAGATGAAAAAGGTTGAAAATTGTAATGTAGGTTCTGCTCTAATATAACAAGGCCAGCCTGCAATGGCATGTTGGAATATGAAAGATAATCCCTTCAGATAGGAACTGTTACATATTCCCTTCTCAGCTTTTCCTGTAGGAACGTTCTAGAGCCTCACTGCCCTAGCTTTTGCTTCTAGGGATCTCTCTACTTGACAGAACAGTGGTAGGCTTATGATCTGTTGGCTGCTTTATTCAAGGCTCATATAAATTGAGAACTGGTTACTTTGCCTCTTGCTTTGTGGGAGAGAAGGTTCTGTTCCTGAGGCACACATTCTTTTCCTTTTCAGACAAAACAGCTTGAAAAACTTCTCAGGCTAAGGAGGCCTTGTCAAAACAAATTTTTGACGATCTAAGATGCTTAGGGATATTCAGCAATAGCTCATATGAATTGCAACAGAATTATATCTTAGAATGGAAAAAAGAAAGTCTCACATTAGCTAAGCCCATTGCACCTTCTATTAGATAGTATTATGTATTTTAATCATTTTCTATTCATCATATAACAAATATACAAATAGGAAAATGAATCTCCTGATTTAAAAGTGACATGCCACGTTCTCAAAACAGATAATATAGAACGTGTTCTACATTTTATTGTGAAAATTAACTAGTAACTATCAAGATTGTTTTGTTTTAAGTCCCATGACTGATACTTTTTAATTGTTGAACTCAGACATCCTTTTACTCAGTGGCTTTACTTCCATATGATTTTATTTGTGACATCTAGAACTCTGGTGACACATGGAATTAATAGGTATATTGTAAATTTTTAAAAAATATGTTTTTATTGATTTTTTTAGAGAGAGGAAGGGAGAGAGAGATAGAAACATCGATGTGAGACAGAAACATCAATTGGCTGCCTCCTACACGTCCCCAGCTGGGGATTGAGCCCACAACCCCGGGCATGTGCCCTGACTGGGAATCGAACTGGGATCTCTCAGGCCAATGGGACAACGCTCAGTGCACTGAGCCACTCTAGCTGGGCTGTAAATTTTTTTTAAATGATTTTTCATTTTATCAAGGAAGGTAAGCTCAGAATGCTGAATTGCAGCTGAAATAAATGAACTATTTTACTTTCTTCATAAAGATCTCAGTACAGCTTAGAAATCAGAGATGATCACACTTGAATGTTCTGCTTAATTTCACATTTGTTTAGTGATGTTTCCCAAGTAACTGTTCCTTTTCACTGCCATCTCCCTAAGCATGCACATAAAATTTTCAGTGGATTCTTTGAAATTCAATCTTTAAAGCCGGATCCTTGGCTTTATAAAATATACTGGATCAGTCCTGGCTTATATGATTTATGCAGTTGTTCTGTACAGCTTATCTTCACCTTTATTTTTCTTCCTCCCTGACAGAATCCCAAGGACTGCAGCAAAGCCAAGAAGCTAGTGTGTAATATCAACAAAGGCTGTGGGTATGGCTGTCAACTCCATCATGTGGTCTACTGCTTCATGATTGCATATGGCACCCAGCGAACACTTATCTTAGAATCTCAGAATTGGCGCTATGCTACTGGTGGATGGGAAACTGTGTTTAGACCTGTAAGTGAGACCTGCACAGACAGATCAGGCATCTCCACTGGACACTGGTCAGGTAAGAAGCCTGGGCAGCATGTCAGATTCTCTGAGTTCAACTGCCACGTAACCAGATTATCAGATTTCTTTGTACAACTTATGGCTCATTGCCATCTGCATCCATGAATGCTGTACATTATCCAGATAAAATCTAGAACAATATTTTATTTAAAAAATGTTTCATGATCTATTTTATTTCTGATGTTTATTTTTATCTGGATTTAGCAAAGTTACTAAAGCTTTTTCAAGGAATACAATTTACTCTTTTTTTTTTTATCCTCACCCGAGGACATTCTTTTCCATTTTTTGTTCAGATAGAGTGGGAGGGAGAGAGAGAGAGAGAGAAGAAACATCACGTGAAAGGGACACAACAAATGGCTGCGACCTGCACGACCAACCAGGGCTGGGGACAAACTGCAACCAAGGTACCCGCCCTTAGCGGGAACCGAACCCAGGTCTCTCCGGACCACAGACGGACGCTCCAGCCGCTAAACCAAACTGGCCAGGGCCAATTTACTCTTTTAATGATGATGATGATGATATACCTTTCACATTTTAGAGTGCTTCCACATTATTGACCTCGGTTAATTCTTATCTTCTAAGTAATGTAGACTTGAGGTTTTTAAACTTCAGCATGCCTGAGAATCACCAGGAAGGCTTGTTAAAACACTAATTTCTGATTTAGTAGGTCTGGGTGGAGCCTGAGAATTTGCATTTCTGACAAAGTTGCCAGACCCAGGGATTAAACTTTATGAACCACTGAGTACCTTTATCTTCATTTTACTGTGGAGGACAATGAGGCCTAATTTGTTTATGCAATTTTATATTTTATTCAGGAACATTTGATGACAAATACTGTGATTAAGGTACTATATTCGGCATTTTAAGAGATATAAAGATCAGCAAGAAATTTCTCTTCTCTCCTAAGATCCGGTGATAGAGGAAATAGAATCTGTAAACCAAAGAACTTATATGCATATATGTGCAACCAATCCACACAGGCACTTGGCTGGGGAAGGCAGGAAGTGGGTGGGAGCGGGAAGGGGGGAGTCAGTGGGGAAAAAGGGGGACATCTTTAATACTTTTAACAATAAAACATTTTAAAAAGAATATATAGTTTTTTATTACAAGTCTACAATGATGATTTTTTTTATTAAAAAATTTTTTTTCTTTATTGATTCTAGAGAGAGAGGAAGGGAGAGGGGAGAGAGAGGTAGAAACGTCGAAGAGAGAGAACATCAATTTGCCACCTCCTGCATGGCCCCTACTAGGGATTTGGCCCACAACCTGAGCCTATGTTATGACTGGGAAACGAACCAGCAACCTCTTGGTGCATGGGTCGACGGTCAACCACTGCACCACACCGGCCGGGCTACAGTGATGATTTTTAAACAAGGTCTAAAATTGGATTACCTTTGTTAAAAATACTGGCTTTATCATTTTGCAATCTTGGGCAAGTTACTTAAGCTAGGCCTTAGTTTCCTCATCAGTAAAATGAGAAGTAATAATTTACTGACCTCTTTGAGTGGTTGATAGGCTTAAATGAAATAATATTAGCACAGCACCTGATATATAAGCCCTAGTAATTGTTAGCTATCATTAATAGCCTTTATTCATTGAGCAAATACACATCGAGTGCCTACAGTGTGGAAAATGATGACTGAGGTATGAGGTGGAATTCTAAGCACGGCAATAGACTGTCTCTACACTCACATCTTTTGGGAAGTCAAACTTTTTTCAAAAGGCTGAGGCATTTCAGTCAATATAATTTCTCATGGATCTGATCACCTTTTTTCACAAGTTAAAACACTAGATGTGGACTAGGGAGCCGTGTCATTGGCAAAGTAACTTTATTTTGTTTCTTTTTGCCTTCTTTGGAAAGTGTCAGATAATACCTGATGCTTCACAGAAATGGTCAGGAAAGCTAATTGGATAATTTCTGTAAAATATATAAAAAGGTACTATATGGATTTAAAGTATTATCTTATGATGTGAGTTTTATCTTCATTAGGGTGATTTAGAAGACTTATTCTCTGTGTCAACATTTGTTTTTCCTTGTAACTCACTTCAAATTTTAAAGTGAACCTCTTAATCTAGAACCTAGCTGAGCTTTATTTAGTTTTGAGGTTGCATCTTCCATTGGACTGCTTTGTAGTATACAGCTGGTGCAAACAGATTAGGTATTAAGGTTAGGAAAGTATAGGAAAAGCAACTAACTCTTTCAGGCTCACTGGGGCAGCCTTTTCATTTTGTGAACTTGGTTTAGTTCAAGCTTCTTTGATAGTAGAACTGCATAGCCAGAGTAGGATAGGTTCTTAGGTTTCATTATTTCTAGGGAGAGGCAAGGTTTTTGGAGGTAGTCAGTTAATAGAAAGCTGAAAAGTTGACCTCACAATACTTATCAGATTTAGTATATAGTTTGGCCCTGCCTATATGCTACAACTAATTATTTGGTTTGTTTGATTTTTAATCCTTATACATTTGGTATGTACAGAATATGAAGATTAGAATGGCTTGAATTTGAAACATTCAGAATTGCTTAATCTTACAATTAAAGAGATTCTAGAAATCATTCTTAATTTATGTGGCATCTAAGTCCTAATAGATACGAAGTGATTTATACAGTTTATACATAACAGAACTCTGGTTAGTACATTCACTTATATCTATCCTACCTGCAGTCTAAGTCCTTCCTTAGTAAACACATGCCAGGCACCTTACCTAGCAAAATAGTGAATGGAAGCAATAGAAACTCCTAAATGTCTTAGGGCCTAAATAAAATAACTAATTGTAATATCTCTATCCTCTTACCTCCGTCTAGCCTGTAACATTTTTTCAAACCATCCATATAATTTCCAGTACTGAAAAGTTCTCAGTAGTATATTCTTCTTAGTCATTTGCAGTCCTTGATTAAAGAAGTTATTTTATCATGGTAGCACAGAATTATATTTTCAATTAAATAGATCTTTTCTTTATCGCTACAGGTATTGTATAAAATCATATATTTTTCTTCATGCTAATCAATTAAACTGTGCCTTTGGGGCACATTTAATTAATTAAACTAGTGATTATTTTCAGTATACTTTCAGAACTCATCATAACTAAAATAATTTAGATGCTAATCTTATATCCAAAAGAAGGAAGAGAGTTATGTTTAAGCATAGCAAAGTATGGTTGCCATCCACTTCTGTTTCTGTTTATATACATGATCTATATATGCACCTTTTAGAGAAACTAACCTATTTCTAGATTTAGAAGAAACAGAATGAAATTTAATAAATTCTTTGACATTAATTCTTGAGTTATCCATAAATCAACTATATCTGTTATTGTTCTGACTTGTACAAAGAATCTTGGGATCTTTCCCTTGGCACAACTGTCATGAAATTATTGTTGTTCATATATTACTTGACACGATGTGCCTGCAGGTGGAATTTAGTGATTCCTGTTCAAATCTGTTACCAGTACAAGAATTGGTGTGCACATCTGATCATTTCAGTAGCTAAATCTCACCTTGTTGTAGGTTGTTCTGTTTTTCATTATTTTCCTTCATTATTTTATATCTGTATCCAAAACCATATCCTGTATAGTAATTTTGTTAAGTGAAGCAAAAATATTAAAAATTATGCGTCCAGTTAAAAGTTATAATAATCTTGCCCATCATTTATCGATGTCTATTCTGAAGTAGCTAATAAAATGGTCAATTTAATTTTCTATATCACAAAACGTTTCCTAAACCAAAACTGACTACATGTAATAGGCCTGATTCTTCCAAATAGATTTCTTATGATAATTCAGAATGGGAATCTTGGTATTTAATGGGTTGAAGTATCTTTCAACAATTACTGATTTGCTTAAAGTATATTGACTGTTGTAGGCTATGTATGATGTCCAACTTCCAAAATGCTTTTATTGATATAAACTCTTTTGAATAGTTGATTTAGCAATAGAGAACCTCAACCATTTAAACTTAAATTTCAACTTTTTTTTAAAATTCTAAAATTGAACATTTATTCAGATTAGCAGTTAAACCACTTTGGCTATTTTACATTTCCTTTTCATGTTCTCCCAACTGTCTTAATAAATATGTAGTAAATTGAACTGAATTACTTAATTTGATAAATCTAATTGACAAACTTCTTTCTTTTCTAATTACATGTTTGGGTAAATTTCCACTTGATATAGTATTTAGTTATCTAAACTGGATAATTACTTTCTCTCCATACCTCATTTCAAAAAGCTCTGCTCAAAGACTCTTGTTTGGCATCCTTATATTGAGGAAGCCTTAAAATAATAATAATAATTTAAGAAAAGAACTTGCTATGTGCCAGGCACCATGTTGGGCTACATGAAGAAGACAGGCACAGTCCCTGCCCTGTCAGGGGCAGACGAGGGAGAAAGGCAGACAGATGAATGAACAATTATAACATATTGTGATATGGGTAAGTTGATAGTACTCTGAAGCACATGTCTAACACATATCAGGAGGAAAAAAATAGGAGTCAACGGGGTAGAAATGTGGTAGAAGATTTTCCTGATGGTGGACATGAGAAAAGAGAGGCAAAAGAACATGCAGTCATTGGGGTAACTATAGGTAGTTCATAGTAAAGTCCGAATATTGAGAGAATAATCTTTTGTTTTGAAAATACATCACCTACAGGATTTGCTTTTGGATGGTTGTGTGATTTTGTTCCTCCCTAAAACCCAACAGGTTTTAATTCAAGAGTCAATGCTCTTTGTTTTGTTTTTGCTTCCGAGACTGGGCAAAGTTAGAAGTCAAATTGCTTCCAGCTGGCTCTTGATATTATTTAGGAACCATTGCATTTTCTTTTTTTAATTCAAATTTTATTTCATTTTTAATATTTTTAAAGTTTACTCTTCATAACATTTTAAAAGCTGACAAATACTACAAACTCATAAAATCCAGAAAGAAAACAACTTGATATTTTTATTAATTAACCACCTAAAATGCTTCTCTAATGCTATTTTTCCTGCAAAATCTCTATATGGCAACACTTT